AAAGCTCGGTAATTGGGTTCAAGCACAGAGAGCCATTGGACTGTGGGCAGGTTCCTCTTTCATGGCATCTGTGTTGTGCCTCCTTCTTTAACTCCTGGGGATGCCTTGGACATCCCTACCCTCAGTTTTATCAGGCTGACCTGCTGGCCAGAAGGTGAACACAATTCTTTCAGGAGAGGTACCCTTCTAGGGGCAGATCTCATCTCAAACACTTGCTCTGCGTAGTGTTTTCAACTCAGCCCTTCGGGGCATGCGGCATGCGGCAAATCCTGGGGCCTGACTTGCATTTCTTTCTTTCTTTCTTTCTTTCTTTCTTTCTCTCTCTTTCTCTTTCTTTCTTTCTTTTGCAGAGAACCCATAATGTAGAACATTTCTTTTTTATTTATTTTTTTTTATTTTATTTTTTTTTAAGAACATTTCTTTCTCTGGTGCTGAGATACAGTGCTTGTAGTCCACATGGGCTTTTGTTGTTTTGAGACAAGGTCTCACCACTTAGCATTGGGTGGCCTGGAACTCTCTACATAAACCAAGCTGATCTTGAACTCCCAGAGATTCACCTGTGGCGCCTATCTCCTAAGTACTAAGATTAAAGATGTGCCCCACCACAATGGGGTGTTTGTTTTATTTTGAGTCAGAGTCTTATTTATATAGGTCATTTACTGTGCAGCCAAAGATGACCTGTGACTTCTGATCCTCCTGTCTTCACCTCTGGAGTGCTGGGATTACAGACATGCACCATCATGTTGGGTTTTATGAGGGCTGAAGATCAAATTCAGGGCTTTGTGCATAAGAGGCAAACACTTCACCAACTGAGCTACATCCCCAGCTCATGGGCTCTTTTTGGAAAAATCACTTGCTGTCATAAGAACTCCCATTCTGAGGACACGTCAGAGGGTCCCAAGTCAAAGCTAATGCTGCCATGTTTGTGACCATTATAAATGGCATCTATAAGGAAGTCTGGGGGCCTCTCTCTCTCTTGGCTGTGGCCATTCAATTATCCTTTGAGTATGAGGACTTGGTTGCTAAGAGCAACCCGGCAACCAGGACAGACTCTTCATTGGCATTCTCATGTGCTTATCTTTTTTTTTCCCTCTGCCTCCTTAGTACTGGGACTAAAGGCAAGCACCCCCATGCGCCCAGCTTCATTTAGTTATACTAACTGTTAGGCTGAGAGACCCTGCTCAGGGTAAGTGGGGGCATCTCTGCTATACCTTTCTGCTCGCTCAAAGCTCTCTGCAAAGGGCTTTTAGGGAAGCTGTGGGCTGTGGAGATGGCTCAGTTGGTAAAATCCTTGCTGTAGAAGCATAAGGACTGTGGCTTGGATCCTGGGAACTTGTGTGAGAACCCAGGTGTCCTTGTGTGCATTTGCAAGTTCAGCACTGGTAGAGACAGAAGCTGGCCATGGAACTCCAGGTTCAGTGAGAGACCCTGACTCCAAAAATAAAGTGGAGAAGCTAAGACATGGCTTAGCAGTGAAGAGCACTTGCTACTCTTTCAGAGGACCCAAGTTCAGTTCCTGGCGCCCACGTTAAGCAGCTCATAGCTGCCTGTAACTGCATCTCCAGGGAATCTGACACCCTTTTCTGGCTTTACAAGCTCTGGCACACACATATATACACATAAACAAACAAAACACTTTTTAAAAAAAGAGAGAGGAGGGTGAGTGGGGGAGCGGGAGGGGATTGGGAGGAGGGGAGGAAGTGTAAATTTTTGAATGGAAAAATAAAACAATAAAAATTAAAAAAAAATTAAAAAAAAACCTTACCTTAAAAAAGCGGAAACTGAGCCAGGCGGTGGTGGCGCACGCCTTTAATCCCAGCACTCGGGAGGCAGAGGCAGGCGGATCTCTGTGAGTTCGAGACCAGCCTGGTCTACAAGAGCTAGTTCCAGGACAGGCTCCAAAACCACAGAGAAACCCTGTCTCGAAAAACCAAAAAAAAAAAAAAAAAAAAGCGGAAACTGATTAAGATAGCTGATGTCAACCTCTAGTCTCCATAGACACGGACATACAATGCATACATATTTATATGCACGTGTACACACATAAACACATACAAAGGGCTCTATAGTATGTGACATGTAAGGTTGCATCAAGAAATCAGGAGTAGGGGGGCTGGAGAGATGGCTCAGAGGCTAAGAGTACTTACTGGCTGCTCTTCCAGAGGTCCTGAGTTCAATTCCCAGCAACCACATGGTGGCTCACAACCATCTGTAATGAGATCTGGTGCCCTCTTCTGGCCTGCACGCACACATGGAGGCAGAATGTTGTATACATAATAAATAAATAAATCTAAAAAAAAAAAAAAGAAATCAGGAGTGGGGTGGACCTAAGGGATTCAGGCCACGTGGAGGATGGGTGGACCTGTGGGATTCAGGTCACATGGAGGATGGGTGGATCTATGGGATTCAGGTCATGTGGAGGATGGGTGGATCTATGGGATTCAGGTCACATGGAGGATGGGAGGATCTATGGGATTCAGGTCACATGGAGGATGGGTGGATCTATGGGATTCAGGTCACATGGAGGATGGGAGGACCTATGGGATTCAGGTCACATGGAGGATGGGTGGATCTATGGGATTCAGGTCACATGGAGGATGGGAGGATCTATGGGATTCAGGTCATGTGGAGGATGGGAGGATCTATGGGATTCAGGTCATGTGGAGGATGGGAGGATCTATGGGATTCAGGTCATGTGGAGGATGGGAGGACCTACGGGATTCAGGTCATGTGGAGCATGGGAGACACAAATAATGGGAGCGTGAGAGACCCACAGACACAACAGGGCCCCAGACATTAGTAGGCCCCAGACCTTATCACAACTGACTCCATGATGGAAGTGCCATTCAGGCCATAAAACTCAGCATGTAGACAGCACCACCTGCCAAGATGAAAACAAAGACCTAATCCATCAAAGTCCAAAGTTCTGGGAAAGTCTCAAAGTGCACTACCCTTGCTTTTTGACGTCTGTAGTTCCACTTCTGGCTAACTGTGCTGGTTAACTGAAGTGTGTCAACCCAGAACATGGTTTATGTGCTTGAAAATTCACCCCGAGAAAGGCTCAGTGCCGCACTGGGATCCCGAACACCCGGTGTAGTTGCCAGCCAGTTAATAGAGACTTTGTATTGGCATAAATCCAAGTTCTAACAGTCTTCTCTGGTGAACACCCCACAGCACAGGGTGAGAGAAATGCTAGTTCCGTCCTTGTCTGGGTGGAGATACATAGATATGCCGCTGTTCAAACCCATGAACTTTTGTTGTTCCTGTTGTTGTTTAAAGATTGATTGATTGATTGATTGATTGTGAGTGTCTATCTGCATTATGCCTGAAAGCCAGAAGAGGGCATCAGATTCCACTATAGATGGCTGTGAGATGCGGTTGCTGGGAATTGAACTCAGGACCTCTTGAAGAGTAGCCAGTGCTCTTAACTGCCAAACCATCTCCTCAGCCCTCTATTGTTTGTTTGTTTGTTTGTTTCTTCCTTCCTTCCTTTTTTTTTTTTTGAGACAGGGTATCACTATGTGGCTTTGTGTAGCTTGGAACTATGTAGACCCGGCTTGCCTTGAACTCAAAGCAGATTCATCTGCCTCTGCTTTCTGAATGCAGGGATTAAAGGTATGTGAGCACCCAGAAGTTATAGGATTCTTGCTTAATATGTGTGAATCCCTGGCTTCGGTCTCCAGTGTTGCAGGTCATCCTTTTTCCCCTCTGCAGGGAGTTCCTGTTCTGTATGCCTGATGCCCCACCCCTGGGTGCCTGGACATTGGAGTTTAGCCATTCTGGCCTCTTAGCTGGACTGGCAAGCCTCATGAGGATCTGCAAAGTTTTCACCCAAGAAAACAGAAAAGCAGGGCTTGTTCCCTCGCTGTCTCTCCTAGGGTAGGCTCCATGCTGCCTCTGCATTTCATTCCAGGGTACCCCTGGTCTGAGGTAGGCAAGCTGGGCTTGGCTTTTGACACCAAGGCTCTGAGGGGGCCCTGCCTCAGACCTGGTGCCTCCCTGCTTGTGGGCTATCATTGGGGATGAGCACTGGCCACAAATGCCACAATGTCTAGGATTTAGTTTCTTGGCATCTGGATGCCTTCGTGTTCCATACTGGGACAGGCAGAGGGTTTTCCAGTTCTGCACCCAGACCCTGACTCACTTGTGTGGTCATATGGCTCCTGTTGCTGAACCGCCGCCTGCAGCAGGAAGAGAACACCATCATGTTGCCCTGTCCTGCAAGAAAACAAGGACCCTTCCCAATAGCTGAGCCAAGGCCAGGGGTCTAGAGGGCGTTGTTCTCATTGCGGAGCATGAGCAGACAGCTGGTAGAACTGGCGCTAAGGGAAAATAGGACGGAGCTCCAAATCAACCTGTACTAGAGCCAGCTACTTGAATCCGAGCACGCCTTGGCTCTAAACCAGGACTGGCTCTTTGTCATATTTCCATCAGAGTATTCCACAGAGTGCAGGCAGATGGGCAGCTCACTGGCACAGGGAGGACTAGAAGGGATTTTTCTGGCTCCACTTGAGCCCAGTTCTGTCCAGAGCTGCCAACCCTTCTTCCTTCCCAGAGCAGAAGCTTGCTGCTGTGGACATGTGGCTGGGATGGCAGCCACACTGGTAAGCAGCCCACATATTCTGGGAGCCCTAGTGAGTGGGCAGAGACCTTTCCCATTACTTGGATTGATTGGTGTTTGTTCCCAATACTTACTTTGACTTCTCTGGTTTAGATTTGGTCTCCTAGGGAACACCAGAGGCACTTCCCTATTTTCTACATCTTTACTTTTGCTCTCTGAAAGAATGATCCTAGGCTATAAGGTCTAGGGAAGTCATGTCTGGGGGTTCAGAAGAAAACTTTGGGATGGCAGCCCAGTAAATGCCCAAGTTCTAGAGAAGAAAAGAGGATCCTGAGGGTGTACATCCCCCTTCTCTCCCAAGTCCCAGGGTGAAGGGTATGAAGTAGACAGATCCAGACTGGAGCTGGGGTAGTCTGCACAGCATGGTCCTGAGCTTTTATTGCTAGATCAGGGGCATAGCAGAGTAGGAGGACAGGTCCGTGCGAATAGGCCAGATGGGTCAGAAGGGTCAGTCCATGGTCCAGGGGAGGCAGAGACCAGAGTCACCCATCTTGGACTGGTAGACAGCGTTGAACTTCTTATTCAATTCAGGAGTAAAGTGTTCCCTCCAGTCCCCCACAACACCTGGTAGAGTAAGGGCAGATGGCCTGAGTCAGACAGGAAGAGAAGACATCAGGAATACACCACAAGTCAACCCCTGAGAGTCTGACCACTGTTTCTCCATCCCCATACTTTGGATTATGTCCTGTAGGAGGCGTGTGCACCTCCCACCTGACACCTGGGAACATGACTTGATTTGGAAGTGGGTCAAGAGTGGATAAGAGTGGCCTAACCTAGTGACTGGTGTCATCATCAAGTATGGGAATAGAGTCAAAAGTGACGTAACCAGAAACTGGGAGCATCGGAGCCGTAGGAGTAAAAGAGGCAGGAAGGGGCCTCTTGTGGTGTATTCCTGATGTCTTCTCTTCCTGTCTGACTCAGGCCATCTGCCCTTACTCTACCATGTGAGTTCGAGGCCAACCTGGTCTACAGGACAGCCAAGACTACATAGGGATGTCGTCTTAAAAAACAGAACAAACCGCCGGGCGGTGGTGGCGCACGCCTTTAATCCCAGCACTTGGGAGGCAGAGGCAGGCGGATCTCTGTGAGTTCGAGACCAGCCTGGTCTACAAGCGCTAGTTCCAGGACAGGCTCCAAAACCACAGAGAAACCCTGTCTCGAAAAACCAAAAAAAAAAAAAAACAGAACAAACAAACAAAAGATGAATGTTGACTGGTTCCAGAATGGGCCCTGGGCATTTGAATGGAGCCTGGGAGAGAGGCCTACCTTTCCTCAGGAACTTGCCCTTTCTTTGGTCCATGATCTCGTTGGACAAAAGGCTGTAGTTGACCATGTTGCTCTGACTCATGAAGGAGAAGCTGCAGTGCTGGAGTATGACATCTTCCTCTTCTGGCCGCAGGGGGCGCTCCAGGAATTCACTTAACTTCTGGATGGTACGGCGGGGTTCCTGGACCCAGAAAGATAGCCAACCCAGAAGAATACATAGTTAAGACATTAAAATAATACAAGTAGGGACTAGAGAAATATCTCAGCTGTTAAGAATGAGTACACACTGCTCTTGTAAAGGACCCAAATTCAGTTTCCAGCACCCACATCAAGCAACTCACAGCTACCTGTAATTGTCGCGCCAAGGGATCCAATGCACAAGTATCCACATAGACACACATATAAGCACATGTTTAAAAATAAAAGTTATAAACCAGGCTTAGTGGCTCATGCCTTTAATCCCAGCACTCAGCAGGCAGAGTCAGGTGGATCTCTCTGAGTTCGAGGCCAGACTGGTCTATATAGTGAGTTAGTTCCAGGACATCCAGAAGTATATAGAGAGACCCTGTCTCAATACTCCCAGATATATATTAAAAATTTGTACAGGTAATTAGAAGTATGAACAACCATATTCAATTTAGTATTATCTGTTAAAGCAAGTAGCTGGAAACAGCATAAAATCCAACCAAGAAGGGGATTTATTTTAGCTATGTCTATATCATGGAATATTTTACTGTCATTAAGAATGCAAGGGGGGCTGGAGAGCTGTTTCAGCACTTCAGAGAACTTCTTGTTTTTGCAGAGAAACTAGGTTCAATTCCCAGTACACCCACAGCAATTCACAACTGTCTGCAACTCCAGTTCTAGGAGATCTGACATCTTCTTCTGACCTCTGAGGGCACTAGGATTGTGTGTGGTGCACAGACATACATGTGGGTAAAACATTTACACACATAAAAAATAAGGTTAATAAATCTGAAGAAAAAATAGACTACATAGGGATCTGGCTGTGGTGGTGCATGCTGTCTTTAATCCCTCCATGGGGAAGGGAAAAACAAGTAGATCTCCGTGTGTTCAAGGCTACCCTGGTCTATGTAGCAATTTCTAGGTCAGCAAGAACTACACAGAGAAACCCTGCCTCAAAAAACTAACTAACGCTTTTTCCTTGGCACAGCCTGCGAGGTGGCTGCCATCTCCTTTGTGGTATCATGGCTGCCCTCCAGCCTCTGGTGAAGCCCAAGATTGTCAAAAAGAGGACCAAGAAGTTCATCCGGCACCAGTCAGACCAATATGTCAAAATTAAGTGAAACTGGCAGAAACCCAGAGGTATTGACGACAGGGTGCGGAGAAGATTCAAGGCCAGATCCTGATGCCCAACGTTGGTATGGGAGCAACAAGAAAACCAAGCACATACTGCCTAGTGGCTTCCGGGAGTTTCTGGTCCACAACGTCAAGGAGCTGGAGGAGCTGCTGATGTGCACAAGTCTTACTGTGCTGAGATTGCTCACAGTGTTTCCTCCAATAACCGAGAAGCCATTGTAGAAAGAACAGCACAGCCGGCCATCAGAGTCACCAATCCCAACGCCAGGCTATGCAGCGAAGAAAATAAGTAGATGGCTTGCGTGCATGTTTTATTTGTGTTAAATAAAATCAGCCGGGCGGTGGTGGCGCACGCCTTTAATCCCAGCACTCGGGAGGCAGAGGCAGGTGGATCTCTGTGAGTTCGAGGCCAGCCTGGTCTACAAGAGCTAGTTCCAGGACAGGCTCCAAAGCCACAGAGAAACCCTGTCTCGAAAAACCAAAAAAAAAAAAAAAATAAAAAAAAAAAAAAAAAATAAAATCACAAAAACTGAAAAAAAAACACCAAAAAACAAAACAAAAAAACTAATGACATGTGTGTATATGAAAGCATACACATACATATACACACATATACACATAGACATATATATCTGCATACAAACACACATACTTATGCATATGGGAGTGCATGCTTTGGTTGGCAGAGCTGGAGAGGTGGAGTTGCTAAGGCCATTCTGGAGCCCAGAGGATTGTGGGTGGGTCCCCACCATCAGACTCTGAACGTGTTATACTGTTGGATTTTGGCTCGGCTTTGATTTAATTGTGACTATGGTTTGATTCTTCCCTCTTCGAGATGCTTTGAACTTTGAAAGTGATTTTGGATGTTTTGAAGAGACTGAGCTTTGAATGTGAATCTTTAAAGACTAGAACTCTTTCTTTCTTTCTTTCTTTCTTTCTTTCTTTCTTTCTTCAAAACAGGGTTCTCTGTATATCCTTGGCTGTCCTGGAACTCATTCTATAGACTAGGCTGGCCTTAAACTCACAGAGATCCACTTGCCTCTGTCTCCACCTTCTGAGTGCTGAGATTAAAGACATACATCACCACCGCCCGGTAAGAAACCCTGTCTTGGGCTCAGAGGTTAAGAGCATTGCCTGCTCTTCCAAAGGTCCTGAGTTCAATTCCCAGCAACCACATGGTGGCTCACAACCATCTGTAATGAGATCTGGTGCCCTCTTCTGGCCTGCAGGCATATATACAGACAGAATATTGTATACATAATAAATAAATAAATAAATAAATAAATAAATAAATAAATAAATATTTTTTTAAAAAAACCTGTCTTGAAAAACAAAATACATAAATAGATAGATAAATAAATGTCTTGTTTTATATTGTGATTTGTTATTAATCTGAGATGTTTTGAATACATAAGAAAGGAAAGGTTATTAACAGTTTTGTTGTGTCAAGTTAACTAGGAGTCAATTGTTCTTGTGGCTTCTGTTAACTTGATGCAAACCTAGACATGTCTGGGAAGAAGGAATGTTGAGGAAGCTCCTTCATCAGACTGGCCTGCAGACTAAACAGTATTTTCTTGATTAATGACTGATGTAGGAGAGCCCAGTCCATTGTGGAACACAGAAATCAAAGCCCAAAGAGACACAACAGGGGATTCCAGGCCAGGATGTTTGGTCTCAGCCCCTGTCAGATAATGTGGCCGAGTGGTGTCCAAACAGGTCCATACCACCAACTGTCAAGGATTGGAAGCAGGGTATAAAAATCTTGAAAACTGTAACCTCAAGTATTAATATATTTTTGTGTTTAGAGCACATTGTGTTTGGCACTCAGAGATGTCACATCTTTAAAGAATTTGATCAAGAAAAGCCTTGAAGATCGAGCTTTACTTTTTGCAGCAAAACTCATTCGGTTGGAAAGGCCCAAACCTCTACTGATGCAAATCTATTTATGGTCGTCTTTGTCCTCCTCGTTTTAATGTCTTGAGGCCAAGCCAACGTTGTCTGCGTGGGGTGAGGGTGGGGGGCAAATGTGTACAGTTTCTAGGACCCAACAGAGCTTGGATTCCCAAAAATCCCTAAGCACACGCAGTCTCAACAGCTGGAGCCAGAGTTGCAGGCGTCTGAAAGGTCAGCCTTGTGGATATAATTTAAAACATACTGCGAAGAAGTGGATTTCATCTTGTTATTCTGAGTTAAAAATCTTGCTGTTTACACATAATATTGGAACAGCTCAGGGAACTCAAGGTTCTCCAGCATCACGCATCAAATTTGCTGGCTGTGCCAGGGTGGGCTGAGTAATCAGGCCTGTCTGTTCCGGGAGGAAGCACAGGGGCTGCTTGCTTATCTGAATTTTCAAATGCAGTCAAATATGAATCAAAAATTACTCTGATGGATAAACACAAAAATAACAGCAATAGATGGAAAATATAAGTTAAGGCAATGTGTGGGGACCAACGGGGACCAGTTCTCCCCTTCTACCACACGGGTTTCAGGGACTGAGCCGGTCCAACAAAAGCCTTTATCCACTGAGTCATCTCTCTGGCTGGGATTAAAGGTGTGCACCACCACTGCCTGGCTATCACTGACCTTCAACTCACCAAACAGACCAGGCTGACCGGCCAGTGAGCCGTGGGGATCTGACTGTCTCTCTCTCTCTCCCAGCGTGTATCCCCATCCCTGACTTTTTGATGTGGGTTCTGGGGATCAAACACATGTCCTCACACACATTCCAGGAGCACTTTCCTGACTTAGCTGTTTCCCCAGACCCACAATCTTAGAGTTCTAAATGTACATCTCAGGCTGGAGAGATGTCTCCAAAGTTAAGAACACTTACTGCTCTTGTAGAGGACCTGGGTTCGAATCCCAGCACCCACATGGTGCTACTGTTACATGGTGCTAGATGCTGCAACTGTCTATTAACACCAGTTCCAGTGATCCAGTGTCCTCTTCTGACCTCCTTGGGTACCAGGCACACACTTGGTACACAGACATACATGAAGATGAACACTCATACACATAAGATAAAAATTAAAAATTGCTTGAATCTCCTACCAACAAGGCTCACAATGGCCGTTACTTCGGGGAAGCTGGAGAGTATCTGAATCAGGAGCAGCCAGAGATTGTGAAAACACAATATCGTTGGTAGTCCTGTCTTAGGAAAACAAGCTTCGCAGAATGTTCTGGAAGGGCTGGGGATGCCAGGGCTTTGACTGAGGAAGACTTGGCTGTAGGTGGCCTGTTGGTTATGGGGAAGGAGGGCCCACCTGGTGCAGCTCCTCATAGGTGACAAAGAGCAAATTTAGGTCCTTCTGGAGGCCCAGCCACCCCTTCACATGGTCGAACCAGGAACCGAAGAAGCCTGAGGAAGAAAGAAAGAGAGCTGGGACCCAGGAGGAGGAGCAGGGGTGACCTCAGAGGTCGCTAGAACAAGGCACAAAGCTGCCCACCAGCCCCGTGACAAGGAGGGGGCTCTGTGAGCCCCCTCAGTCCCCAAGACCCACCTGTACCCTCAAGAAACTCATCCACAAAGTCTTCGAAGGAGCTGGGGTCGGGCATGAAGCCTGCGATTCGGTGGAAGTGGTAGTAGGAAACAAGGGTGTCCTTGGGGTTCCGTGCCACGTACACCACCTGGCGGACAGAGTCCTGGTTCTCAGCGCTCTGAAGCCCAAGGCTTCCCCAGCTGCCATGACCTGACTTAGCTGAGCCCTGGACTCTGACTCCAGTCTAGAAGTGTGGGTGGGAAGAGTCGCACAGTGTTGTCCTGGACTCCCCCAAAATGTAGCGATGAGTGGATGCCAGGCATGGCCACTGAGCAGCAGTAGGGAGAGTCCTGTATGGCTAGTGACTGGGTAGCCCCTGGGGCATCTTTTGGTCTCTCTTTTTCTTTTCTTTCTTTTCGTTTCCTTCTCTTCTCTTTCTCTCTTCCCTCCCTCCCTCCCTTCCTTTTTTGGTCTATTGAGACAGGGTTTCTCTGTAGCTTTGGAGCCTGTCCTAGAACTTGCTCTGAGGCTAGTCTCGAACTCACAGGAATCCATCTGTCTCTACCTCCTGAGTGCTGGTATTAAAGGCATGTGCCACCATTGCCCAGCTGGTTTCTTTTTCTACCTTCCTTTTTTTTTTTTTTTTTTTGAGACACGGTTTCTCTGTGTACCAGCCCTAGCTGTCCTGGAACTAGCTCTGTAGACCAGGCTGGCCTCGGACTCACAGAGATCCACCTGCCCCTGCCTCCCAAGTGCTGGGATTAAAGGTGTGCACCACCACCATCCTGCTGGTTTCTTTTTTGTTACATTTACATTTTTTTGTCTTGCAGGGGGCACTGTTATTCACCCTTTCAGGTTCCAGGCAGCTGATGGCCACCATCACCCCACAGTAGGTAAGTGGACCTTGCCTATCAAAGTTACGCCAATCTCCAGGTCTCCTGGACCTCTGTCTGCAAGACCTACTGGAGTTTCTTCAGTCTCCCACCCCCACCAAGGTAGGAAGGGACCTCTCTTCCCCAGAGTCAATCACTAAGTAGTCAAGATGGAGGACTCTGCTGTTCACTACATCTGAACAACGAACCTGCCTGACCCACCCCATCCTCCCCCTTCTGGCTTGGCTACACTACTGGCCTGCCAGAAGCTTCCTGCTGTATAGACCCCGCCTCTATGCCAGCCTAGGTCTGATGCTGATTCTACCCTCCCGGATTCCATGTCCTTCACCCCAGGACTTGAAGGTGAACTAAATCCTTTGGACCCTTTTGACCCCCAAAGCCTAGCTCCACCTTGGCTCTTGCGCAAACGCTAAGGCGCTGAAGGTGTCTGTTTCCTACCTTGACTTTGGACTTCATCAGAGCCGGGGCCAGGACTTTGGCACTCAGGTGGGAGGTGAACAGACGAGGCCAGGAACTTCTAAGCTCGTGAACGAGTTGGCTAAAGGAGACTTGCTCTATCCAAGGCACGCGGGCCCAGTTGGGGAGGTGGTGGATAGGCCACAGGTGGCCCTCACAGAAGATAAGGCTCAGCACTTGCTGCATCCATGTGGTACCTGCAGGACAAGGGGTAGGGGCAGGAGATGGGGGTGTGACCACTTCTGCCTAAGACATTCCAGTTTTCCTTTTGTCCCTCGGAGTAACAGATGGATTGGGTGCATTGTTAGCAGTGTGATCAGGACGGCAAGGGTTCTGAGGCAAGCCTAGTCCCCCACCCTCACTGTACCACCTTCCACAGACCACAGAACCCAAACCTGGCCAGCTGATTCTCTGCCACTATAACGTGGTCCTTATTGCTATTTGAAACCTTAACCAATGTGTTTATTTGTTTTTTTTTTCTTTTTTTTTGTTTATTTTTTTTTGAGACAGGGTCTCACTATGTAGCTCTGGCTGTCCTAGTACTCACTAGGTAGACGAGGCTGGCTTTGAACCCACAGAGTTCTGCCTGCCTCTGCCTCCTGAGTGCTGGAATTAAAGGCATGCACCACCACTACCTGGCCTTTAGTTTTTATTGTCTTTATTTCTGCTAACATTCTGTGCAAGTAGGAGTTTTCCAGTCCCTCTCCTCTGCCGCAAATAGATAACTTCAATTTAGGGATTTTCTAAAGAGCTTGGGCCTTTTCCCCTTCTGTCTTCTCCCTTCTTCCCTTTCCTGGGGTCCTATAGGTGGAACCCAGGGCTATGTATGAATTAAGTAAGTGCTCTACCATTGCCAAACTCCAGCTCCTTTCTCTTTTCTTTCTACGCTTTCACTACGGAACTGCCTGCTTGTGGCACTGCAGGCTTTTCCTAGTGTGCACCTAAAATCTCTTACACACTTCTCACTTTTTGTTTGTATTTGTTATAGTAGAATCCTAGTTTTTAGTATCAGTTTCTGTCTTCCAGCCCTAGCTTGTCACTAAAAAGCATGTTTGGGGTTGGGGATAGGCTCAAGGGTAGATCACTTGCCTAGCGTCATGAAGCCCTAGGTTTCAGTCCTTGCTCTGTAGAAACAAAAAAAGGAAAGAAAGAAAGAGAAAAGAAAAAAGTATGCTTTGGGAAAAAAATCAGAGTCCTGGAACCGGAGAAATAGCCCAGGAGTTAAGAGCACTGGCTGCTCTTTCAGAGGTTGCAGATTTGATTCCCAGAACCCATATGGAAGCTCACACCTGTTTGTAATTCCAATTCCAGGCCTGTGACAACCTCTTCTGGCCTCTGCAGGCACCAGGCATGCATGTGTCATAAAGACAAACATGCAGAAAGTATCCCATACATAAAAAAATCATAAATAAACTTTTTTTTAAATAAAAAAAAAAGAAAACCAGTTGTCCTCATGCACCCCACAGTAGCAGTTTAGAGGTAAAAGAGCAGAGAAAGCCCTACGATAGCAGGGACAGAGACCAAGAGCAAGGAATGTGTAAAGGCTTTGTGGGAAGAGTGTTCCCGCCTCTGTGAAGACATGGGGGTGGACTGGGCAGATGGAGAATCCTCTGTCCTTAGACAGGATGTCTTGACAAAATAAACAGACCAGTTCTTCCATGCTAATCTGCAAATCAAACACAATTCCAATAAAAATACCCTCGGGTTTCTACAGAGTTAGACAAACGGGTGCTGATTACACTGAAAAGAAACACGTGGCAGCCAGGCCCGAGAACAACAGTGGCTCCCACAGGAAGCCCAGAAAGACACACAAGGGACGTCAGGAAAGTTAAGTTCAGAGCTACGGTCCAGCACAACCCCTCTGGGTCAACAGATAGCTATCTGGTTAAACGCGGCGTGAGATCTTCACACCACACAGAAATAAACCAAGTGTGAACATTGCAAACAAACAGGCAGTTTCCTCTTTGGTTGTAAAATAATATCGAGCTGGGCGGTGGTGGCACATGCCTTTACTCCCAGCACTCGGGAGGCAGAGGCAGGTGAATCTCTGTGAGTTCAAGGCCAGCCTGGTCCACAGAGTGAGTTCCAGGACTGGTTTCATAGCTACTGAGAAACCCTGTCTTTGAAAAAAAAAAATGCTCTGTAACAGAGGTTATGGGAACACATTCTCCCAGCCTTACATTTTTTTCTTTCATAAAATTTATTATAAAAATGCCTTGGACTGGGGCATGGTGGGACATGTCTTTAATTCTAGCAAAGGCCAGGGATATCTTTGAGTTCTAGGCCAGCCTCTGGTCTACATAGTAAGTTTCAGTGCAGCCATAGCAACACAGAGAGACTCTCTCCCAAAATAAATAAACAAACAAACAAACAAACAAATAAATAAAACCTTGAATAAAAACATCACATATCAAGATTAATTACAGCATACCGCCATCAACCATTTCTTTTTTTTTTTTGGGGGGGGGTTCAATTTGAGACAGGGTTTCTCTGTGTAACAGCCCTGATTGTCCTGGAACTCACTCTGTAAAACAGGTTGGCCTCAAAATCAGAGATTCAGCTCCTCTGCCTCACAAGTGCTGGGATTAAAGGTGTGTGCCACAATGCCCAGTCTCAACCATTTCTTCCACCTATTTAGAGCCTTTTTTCTCGCTGTGTCTCCTCTGGCCCCAGGCTGGGGACTACTGCTTGCTCCCCAGGCTCACCAGGGCTGCTCTGTCCCTTTGTTCTGGGAGCAGCTGAGCCATCCTGACGCCTTCCCCACGGGATACTCACTGCCAAGCTCAGGACCTACACAACTTCAATGCTTTTTCCATGTTGCCTCAAGGGTGACCTCACTCTGTGGGAACAGGAAAACTAGCTTGAGTTTCTTTACCTGCTTCACAATTTCATGGTTTTGTTTTGTTTTTTTTCATAGACCTTAGCAATCTGAGATGATCTTGTCTTTTTCTCATTATGTTGAAAACTTGAACATTTTCAGGGAAGGAAGACTCTTTGGCCTCTTTGTCTGCGTGGGACGGCATCATTGCTCACGTCCTTTGGGACTGAGGGCAACTCAAACACAAGCATTGGGTTCTACGGCTATGAATTTGGTAACTGGGAACTTCGCTAAGAGATCAATGGGACCAGTTCCGTATACAGCATAGCTACACTGGACAATCCACATTCTAGGCTGGAAGAAGCAGACAGTGTGAGGCTTTTACCACACAATTTAAGACAGTAGTTAGTGATTTCTAGACTTTTCCCTTTAATATTTTTAGACAACTACTGAGTATGACCTCGTTTGCGATCACAAATAACGGGGAAGGCTGGGTGGTAGTGGCACACGCCTTTAATCCCAGCACTCGGGAGGAAGAGGCAGGCGGATCTCTGTGAGTTCGAGGCCAGCCTGGTCTACAAGAGCTAGTTCCAGGACAGGCTCCAAAGCCACAGAGAAACCCTGTCTCGAAAAACCAAAAAAACAAAACAAAACAAAAAACCAAATAACGGGGAAATGACCTGACTGTATCAAGGAGATAGAATGTAAAAGGTGTCGTTGAAAGGGTCTGGAGTCATACAGAAGCTGAGCAGGAGTGGCGTCCAGAGAAGGCTGGCGTTTCCCACCCTCCTGCCTCACGGCACATTTCTGACATCATTCATCCTTTTGTGGAGACGGCAGAGTTTGGCAGCTGGCTCTGGGCCCTCTGGAGCAGGAAGGTGTGAGTGTTCCTGAGGGCTGGGTGTTCTCTCATTGTGCAGAGCCAGTCAGCCTCTGGGAGCCTGGGGTACATGAGCGGCCCCTATGTTGATCAGGAGTAGACACAAAAGCAGGTTTTCTGAGAAGGGAGAGGGAGACACACAGGGCTGCCTGTGCTCTGTGCTCTGGCAAACATCCGCTCAGTAACCTGCTCAGGCCTCTGTTTACTCCAAATGGTGAGGGACTTGCCCTGGTATGGTGCTAAGTGTGGCATGTGATTCTGGACACGGAGGCAGTGGTCAAGCGTCCTCCTCAGACCCCCTGGTATAGCTGCTGTAGCAAATCACCACCAGCTTGACTGGTGAGACAGCTCAATGGGTAAAGAGGCTTGCCAGCAAGCCTGATAAACTCCCTTGGGAACTGAAAGACTCTGAGACATTTCTGAGGCATCTCAGCATAACTGCCCCCACCTCGCCTGGGAACCAGGAACCTGCTAATCACCCACGTGCACTGAAGCTGTGGGTACTTTCCCAGGTATTTTCCATCCCTCTGCAGTTTTTCTCCGAATAGAGCCAGTACCTAGAACTGGGGCAAAACGATCTGCAGATGTTCCTCCTTGCTCAACCAATCCAGCAATCGCCATAGCAACGACCAATCATAGTTAGCTGATCAATAAACAAGCCTGTCACAATAGTTGACAAACAACTCCTGGACTCCCCCTTTGCTTCTGCAGTTCTTTCCTTTAAAAGTAGCCTGTAACAGCCACTTGGGGTCCTTCACCTCCTGCAGCTGAGGGACCCTGACGATTAAAATTCCTCTTGCTTTTGCAACAACTGCAGTGTGAATGGTTTCTTGGGGCAACTCCTCCTCGGTAACTGGACTTTAAGGTCCAACATTTGGTGCATTGGCCAGGAATCAGGTCACCCCCAGACCGGTTCTGGACCCAGTTGGAGGTAAGAACGAGCTCGCCTTAATGTTTGTCAGTTTGTCTGTGTCTGTCACTGTGATTTATGTTCGTCAGTAATTTGAAAAATTGCACCTACATGGTGGAAAGAGAAGAACAACTCTTGAAAGCTGCCATCTGACCTCCATACAGGCACTGAGCAGTGTGTGCTTGAACACACACACACACACACACAAATAAATGTAACAACTAACCACCACATAAGTGGCTTTCAACAACGCAACTCATACTCTGCTTCTGGAATCAGGGTGATAGCAGAGCTGACACTTGAGGTCATGTTTCCTTGTGACCGTTCCAGCTTCTTGGGGCTACCCTATTCCTTCCACGCTGTCTCTCCCAACTCCAAAAGCAGCACTGCAGCTTCTCCATGCCTCCCGTCGGTCCCTGCTTCTCTCATCACATCTCCTTTCCCATCTCTGAGCCTTATGCTCTGTTCTACAGGGACCCTGGGATGACACTGGACTCTGACGATTTCCATCTAAAGCTCCTCAAGCCAATCCTTACAGCAGAATCTCTCCTACCCCATGAGGGGACAGACAAGGAGAGAAGAGAGGCGAATGTGGGCCTAGGTCTGCCAGGAAGGCATCAGATGCAGGACCGTGAGACAGGGCAAAGAGGAAGAGGCTCCACTGTGGAAACAGAAGACAGAGCTGGCCGAAGAACACTTGACTCTTACATGCCAACTTCCTGCTTGGTTGGACTGTGTCTGAGCCTACCTCTACCATTACTGCTGAGTACTGGAGGGTGATGGGGCAGAGTCTTCTGTTTTGTGTTAATTTCATTGGTTAAATAAAGAGACTGCCTTGGCCCTTTAATAAGACAGAAAATTAGGTAGGCAGAGTAGACAGAACAGAATGCTGGGAGAAAGAAGCTGAGTCAGGCAGTTGCCATGATTCTCTGACCCCAGACGGATATAGACTAGAATCCTTCCTGATAAGACACCATCTCGTGGCCGGGCGATGGTGGCGCACGTCTTTAATCCCAGCACTCGGAGGCAGAGACAGGCGGATCTCTGTGAGTTCGAGACCAGCCTGGTCTACAGAGCTAGTTCCAGGACAGGCTCCAAAGCCACAGAGAAACCCTGTCTCGAAAAACCAAAAAAAAAAAAAAAAAAAAAAAAAAAGACACCATCTCGTGGTACTACACAGATTATTAGAAATGGGTTAATTGAAACGTGAGAATTAGCCAATAAGAGGCTGGAAATAATGGGCCAGGCAGTGTTTAAAAAAGAATACAGTTTCCGTGTAATTATTTCTGGGCATAAGCTAGCCAGGCGGCCGGGTGGCAGGAACGCGGCCTGCCGCTCCACACTACAGGAGGGCCCTGGGATGAGATGGACGCTCGCCGCATGGTGGCTTGGGACCTCCTCGGTATGGATGATGCTGCCCTGACTCCATCAAGCGAGGCAGAGGAGTGAGATGAGGCCAAAAGAGTTTCAGCTGATTTATGAAGTTCAGAGATTGTTCTGGTAAATACGGTTGTGTTTTTCTTTTGTTTATTTTAAGACAGGTTTTTCTCTGTATAGCCCTGACTGTCCTGGAACTCACTCTGTAGAACAGGCTGGACTTGAATGCACAGAGATCCACTTGCCTCTGCCTCTTGAGTACTGGGATTAAAGGCATGCGCCACCACTGCCCGGCTTATTTGTTTTTTGGTCAAGATCTCTCTGTGTAGCTCTGACTGGTAGTAGACCAGGCTAGCCTTGAACTCATAGAGATCTGCCATCCTCTGCCTCCAGAATTCTAGGATTAAAGGTGTGTAACACCACACTTGGCTCACTACCACTTTTTAACTGAATGTTCCAGAACATTCAAACCTAGGTGATGGTCTTTTCAAAAAGCCTATCTGTTCTTCTTTGTTAAGAATGTAACCAAAAGCCTGGTCTACAAGAGCTAGTTCCAGGACAGGCTCCAAAACCACAGAGAAACCCTGTCTCGAAAAACCAAAAAAAAAAAAAAAAAGAATGTAACCAAAACATAGGGTGGTAGTGGCACACGTCTTTAATCCCAGAACTCAGGAGGCAGAGACAGATGGCTCTCTGTGAGTTCAAGGGCAGCCTGGTATACAGAGCAAGTTCTAGGACAGCCAGGACTGTTACACAGAGAAATCCTGTCTTGAAAAAAAACAAAACAAAACAAAAAATGTAACTTAGGCCCTCACCTACATCAAGCAAACACTCCACCGAGCTGTGATTTTCTCTACTTCAGACATTTGTAAGAAGCTTAGGCCACGGGCAAAAAGGAGGGGACTCTGGGGAGCTGTGCAGGGTCTTTCTCCTCAAGCAGTCGCCCTGTCCTGGGGTTCCCTTCAGAGATATCCAATCTTAGTTAGGGTCCTAGAAGGGAATGGGAGGCCACAGGGCCCTCCCTTAGCTTCTTTAGCTTTCAGAATGGGGAGGAAGGTTACTGCCACCTTTTCCAAGTCAGACAGAGCCAGTCTAAACAAAAGCAAGCCAGGAAAGGCTCTTCAGAGCAGGCGTGGCCCTTTCCTCCCGCCTGCCTGCAGGGCCACCAGTGTATCTGGCCAGCTACAGACCAGGCCCTGCTCTATCGGGATCTGCTCACAGGGTTATTGAGGGATGACCCTCCCCACCCATGCTCCCGCACAGGGACACTGACTCTCTGGATCCAGGACCCACCAGGCAGGACTTAGGGCCCATAGCTCTGCTGCCCTCTCCTGCAGGAGGCTAGAGAGAGAGAGCTGTAGGCACAGCCTATTGGGTCCCAGCCCACCCACTGCATTCCTTCTGGTGGGCAGCCCGGGCACACAGACCAGGCCCCTGGGTGGGTAGCTACGGTGAGATGTGAAGGGAGGGAGGGCTCTGATCCAGGGAGCAGGGGGAGGGGAGGGGAGCAAGGGGAGGGAACAAGGTGGCTTCAAAGCAGGACAGCTATGTGGGGTAGAGGGGATGCAGGTCTGGCGTAGGAGGAAGAGGAGGCAGGAATGTGGAGTGTAGGAGGGACAGCTGGCCCTATCTGCTGAACTGTTGGCTCATCCAGTGGCCCTGGTGACCAAGTCACAGGAGGCATATCCTACTCTTAATAGGCATTATGGCCCCAAGAGACAAAGGCAAGCTCGACCCCTGACTGGAATCCTTACCTTTGGTGCCTATCCTTATGGATTCAAGAGGGAGAGGATGGTCGTGCAGAGTCTTGCAGAACCATGCTGGCACCCCGGCCACATTGGATGAAGGGAAAGCAGGCAGGCATTGCTGTGTGGTTAGAGGGTTCCTGTCCCCACATCAACACCCTTCAGTGGGGAGACAGACACCATCCACCTCAGCATGGCTCAGGGTAAGGCAAAGCTTATCTTTAAAAGACCGCGTGCCTAAGAGCACCCCAGATGGAGCCAGGTTCTCAGCACGCACCCCACATTATGGCCAGCATCTTTCCACAGGCTCTCAGGAGCATGTTCAGGCAAGTGCAGCGAGATCAGAGAAGTTGGTGGGAACCTGACAAAGGTATGCGGGAGGCTGCTGGTGCCCATGAAAAGGACACCCTACAGCTCCTGAGGCTGCTAGATAGAAGAATCACTGACCAGAGCTGCTACTGGGGGCTCCATGGAGCTGGCGGGTTACAGACATGTATAGACTCAGGCCAAGAGGCAACCCTACAGCTCACACCAGAATCACAGGTGACGGGGGTGACGGTGGGGTGTAGGGGGTCTAAGAAAGGGAACAAGACCCCATGGGCGGAAGGTAACACTGACGTCCCTGCATTGCTCATGCTCCTTTCCCAGTCCCCATCTCTCACCTGACTTGGGGAATGTCACCAAGAGGACGTCTTTGTCCTGGAACTGGAAAGCAGAGGCCGCTTTCAGGGACTCCAGAGTGTGAATGAACCCTGGGAAGCGGATGCCATCGAAGATTACAGTGGTGTTCATGCGTTCATTCATGCTGGTGCTGGGAGTGGGGCTGGAGGTGAAGGAGTCTGTTATCCAGGGCCCAAGCTCTTCCCAGCAGGCGCAAGTCAGTCTGCTGTTCCATCACTAACAGGTGGAGCTAGGTCCATACAAGGTGGCTGCTGGTGTCTTTCTCAAGCACCTTTGCAGGGCCATGTCGGAACCTTGGTCAGAATTACCTGTCGTCTGGGCCAAGGAAGGCCCCAGTCCTCTCCAGGAGTACAGATCTCTGTGCTCTAGCTTTGGGCTGTGTAGCATCTCTCTGACCTTGAAAGTGTGGACCTTTGCTAGGCAGAATTCTGCCTTGGCCGCCAGTTCTTGGCCACTTGTATGCAGGGCTGCTGGGCCTCAGCAGCAAACTTGTGGACTTGGTGACATGTTATGAATATCCTTGTGGACTTGGGAGCTGCTTGTCTCACTCCCAGAGGCCCCAAAGAAGTAGTGGGAACTGTGTCCAGAAGCCCTATCTAGCAGAGAGAAGGTTCCCACCCTTCAGTTTTCCCACTCAGCTGCCCTGTTTGGGTTGACAAGAATGCTTCTGCTGAATCCTGGAGCAGCCTCTGACACTAGCCCCATCTCCCGTGTCCCCTAGGGATCCCCACTCACCACAAAGTCCTTCTTTGTGAGCCGTGCCTCGCTGTCTGCAAGCAGCCCAGGCTCTAGTTGGGCAGCTCCAAAGAGGCTCCACCCTCGAGTTGCAGGGCCCTGGGACAGATGACTGTGGGGTGCCCCGCCCCCAACCACAGTTTGAGGGACTTGGAAGAGCGCCCTCATCGGCAAGCAACAAATGGATAATCTTCAGAACAGAAGATTTGAGCAGATTAAAGTACAATTTAATAAGTGACTGGGGATGACACAATTTTTCTGTTTCAAAAATGCTCCCCTGTGGAGGTGCTGGCCAGGAGGGGACCCTGGAGTGGGAAATGCAGCATCCCTTTCTCTGTATTCTGACAACACAAGAAGGGCAGCTTTCTTTGTCTCCCTAGAAACCATGCTGTTTGTATAAGTTTGACATTTGTGGTAAGTAGTAGTTCAGTACAAAGTGATCAGTGTGCTAACAAAGTGCATCCAGGAAAGATGTTTTCATCTCCCGCACCACCAGGACCTCCCGCTGGCCTCACTGTCTCCTCAGGCAGCTGCCAAGAAGCACAGAACTTAATGACTACCGTGCTACTTGCAGCAACCAGTGTCCTGGAGATTTGTATACAACTGAGTAAAACTTCTTCCGTTTGCTTAGGGTGTTTGCTTTTTTGTTTGTTTGGTTTAGGTTTTTTGTTTCGCTTTGACCTATGATGCTGTAGTGCAGCACCTGGGCTCCAAGCCCTTTGTCCTACAAGTGAAGAGTAAGTCATGATCTACACACCCATGAAGCACACACTGACCTGATGTCCACCTGTCCTTGCCTGTCCTTTAAAGTGTAGCTCCAGCCCTTGGTCCCTCTTTTCAGATTTTCCCAGGGAGACATCAGCTCACCACCTCAAACCCAGACAATAGCCAAGTTCTCCACGGGTACAGCTAACCGGATTCCACTAATTCACACACCACGTGATTACCACAGGAAGGACTGGGACAGACGACAGTCCAGGAGTCCTAATTCGCTGCGGGCCTCTCCACAGAAGCCTGTGTCCTTCCCATCGTCCTCCCTCATTTCATCTGTGCCAGTGACTATCACTGGGTTGGTTCCTCTATGACCTTCATCTGTGTCATTGTATGTACCGACAGTTCGCCTACAGGGTTGTGCTCTGTTCCATTGTTTAGATATTTGTTCAGCTGTTCCCCCCCACCCGTGTGTTGATGGACGTCAGGGCTGTTTCCAGGTAATGACTTTTTTTTTTTTCGTTTTGGTTTTTCGAGACTTTGGGTTTCTCTGTAGCTTTGGAGCCTGTCCTGGAACTTGTTCTTGTAGACCAGGCTGGCCTTGAACTCACAGAAATCCACCTGCTTTTGCCTCCCGAGTGCTGGGATTAAAGGAGCGCACCACCACCGCCCAGCCCTGTTTAATGACTTTGTTGAGATGTAATTCATATAGATGTAGCTCAGTTGGAAGAGGGCTTGCCTAGCATTCATGAACCCTAGATTCAGTCCCTGGCATTGTATATACATGGTGATACATGCCTGTAATCCCAGCACTCAGCAGGTAGAAAGAATAAAAAATTTAAGGTCCTCAGCTATCTAGTGAATTTGAGATCAGCTTGGGCTACAGGAGACCCTGTCTCAGAAGGGGTGGGTACTAGAGAGAAGAGCCAGCGGTTAATAACACTTTGTACTCTTCATTTCCCCCCCTCTCCCAAGGCAGGGTTTCTCTGTAGCTTTGAAACCTGTACTGGAACTAGCTCTTGTAGACCAGGCTGGCCTCAAACTCAGAGATCCGCCTGTCTCTGCCTCCTGAATGCTGGGATTAAAGGCGTGCGCCACTGTAACGGCGTAAACGAATGCAGACAGATTGTAAAAATATATATAGCTTTAATGGCGAAATAGACTTACAGAACCACCATTCCCGTGGAGACCAGGAAAGCAGAAAGGGGAGGCTGGGAGCACACTTGCCAAATTTATAGGCCAACATTAGACAGGAGCGAACACGCCCCCTAAGGGGCGGGACTTATCCCTACATCTCCCCTTTTTGTCTAAATAAGACAGAACTAAACCAAATACAACTATATACAATAACAACAAATAATAAATATAACAAACAATATTGAGAACAAAAGCTTTGCTAAACATTCTATCTCAAGAAGTCCAAATAATGTAGAGAGTAACTACAATTATATAATCTTCAACTCCGTCAAAGATCTGAGAAGGGAATAAACACTACTCAACAAACGAGATATATCCAAAATGTGCAACAATTGACAGAGACAACTGACTACCTGGGCAATCACCCAAAGTCTCGTTTGCAACGTTGAGTCAACCAATCTTGGCTAAGGCCTAACATAACTGACATACCATTATTAAAGGCAAGGAACTTTTCAAAACTATCTTACCCTGTCTTGGCAGGATATGACAGTCCTGTTTTATCCATTGATGCACGCTCTGTATCTCTGTCAGTGGTTGAGGTATGGGCATTTCTTTGCCCAAAGGCCAGTTCTGCCAAATAGAAAGGCTCCAGATGGAGTGTCTTTGGTGCTCAACATTCTCTCGGGAATAGAGCGGTGTTGCCAGGAGCAATTGTGTCTCACTATCACGAAACTCTGAGTTAGATTAAAGGCCATTTTCTACAGCTCTTTGAAGAGGTCGAAGATTATCTATCTATACTGAGTATAATCTCTATATATCTAGAGAACCTGATTAATCTAATTATAAATGACAAACTTAGTTGACTATTTATCTATATAATTCTCAATATCTATCTAACTTAAAGACTAAGACAATAAACAACTGTGTAACAAATGAGGATAATGACCTCCAAATATAAACACTGTACAAATATACATTGCAATATGGCAAATATATATCAATACACAAACATTATATAAGTATCTTAATCAGAGGTAGAAATGTACACTGCAATATGGTAAATATATACAATATATATATATATCAATACAATATATGTCAATACATAAAAATGTTTTAAACAGAGATAGAAACATGCATGCATACAATAGTCAATATAATTTAACTTTGTATCAATATACAAGAATTGATATGAATATATTTGTCTAAAAGCAGTAACTCACAATTATAAATCTATTATCCCATCATTCCCTCTTTTTTTTTTTTCAAAATGATCCCTGAGCTTATAAAATTCCTCCCCCAACCTCCCAACCCCTAAATGATGTCCCTAACCCAGGGGTAAACTTTACTGGGAGAGGGGACGTCGTCCTCTAGAATTACTTCCAGCTGTCATGGGGGCGACGTTCTTTCTGGGGGATCCTGTGAAAGTAAAATGATGGTTAAATTTCAAGATCAATGTCTTTTAAAATTGCAAATAGTCTCTGAGTATTTTGTGGAGGCCTGGCCAGAATGTTGTACAAGATGTGCACCATTTCAGCTAACCAAGTTGGAACTGTCTTGTGCAGCTGGTATCCAAAACAGGTCTTGTAGTAGCGCTATCAGTATCATGACGTCATATCAACCAGGTAGAATTGTTGTTGTGGGGCCCCATCTTCTTCCTGGAAACTTCAAATGTCACTTCAGGAAAAACTCACTCACGTAATAAAATAAGTAGACCTTTCAAAATTGTTAAGAACATGACGTACATGTATGAAAAGTGTCATAATGATGTATAGTTAATATATGCACTAGAAACACGAAGAAAAGAAAAATTGAAAAGTAAGCACACCACTCTGCTATGGCAGTTTGTTATAGCTGCTCATGGTCATCAAGACAGAATCTTGCCGGGCGGTGGTGGCGCAGTCCTTTAATCCCAGCACTCGGGAGGCAGAGGCAGGCGGATCTCTGTGAGTTTGAGGTCAACCTGGTCTACAAGAGCTAGTTCCAGGACAGGCTCCAAAACCACAGAGAAACCCTGTCTCAGAAAAAAAAAACCAAAAAAAGGGGGGGGGGAGAATCAGGGTGGGGAGAAGAGAAAAATGTAGAGCTCAATAAATATCAGTAAAAAAACAAAAAAAAAAAACAAAAAAAAGAGAAAAGAATGAACTCAGAGATTTGATTTCCAGCTAAAGAAATATTTGTTGGACTGGTGGGAATGCAAGCTGGTACAACCCCTTTGGATGTCAGTGTGGCAATTTCTCAGAAAATTAGTAAACAACCTTCCTCAAGACCGAATAATACCACTTTTGGGTATATATCCAGAGGATGCTCAATCGTGCCACAAGGACATGTGCTCAACTATGTTTATAGCAGCTTTGTTTGTCATAGCCAGAACCTGGAAAGAACCTAAATGCCCCTCAACCAAAGAATGGATAAGGACAATGTGGTACATTTGCACAATGGAGTACTACACAGCAGAAAAAAATAACAACAGCTTGAATTTTGCAGGAAAATGGATGGAGCTAGAAAACATTATTTTGAGTGAGGTAACCTAGACACACAAAGACAATTATCACATGTACTCACTCATAGGTGGTTTTTAAACATAAAGCAAAGAAA